TGTTGTCTCCATGTAGCCATGTGTGAGTCATGAGGTTTTTACCCACTGCAAGCATCAGTACCCTTCTCCAGAAGGTGAGAGAGGGTTTCCCCAGTCGGAGGATGGCTACAGCAACACGAAATGAGGCCCTGGGATGGAGTGGTCACCCAAGCTAGGGTTAGAAATCTAAATAACAATTACACCAACTTCAAATGATTCTAACAACTGTTTACTGTTCACTTGTTTTCAATAAGCAATTAAGATTAGCCATCTCAACATTAAAAAAAAAAATTCTCCTTCAAGAACAGGTGTTCACCAAGAACAGAAAATAAAAATGCTAACCTAAACTTGGCCTTCATTTTTTGTCCTTCTGCTTTAAACAAGAGATACTTCCTCTCACCAGCAGGAAAGCCCAGTTTTTGGCATTTATCTATTTTGTTTGTGTGTTCACACATGTGTGGATGTCAGAGGACGATTGACAGGAGTAGGTTCTCACCTTCTACCATGTGGATTCTAGGAATCAAATTCAGGTTGCCAGGCTTGGTGTGGAAGCACCTTGACCAGCAGAACCCTCTTGCCATCCCCCAGAATCCATTTTATAATAAACCACAACAGTATATGCAACAATCACAAATCATGGTTCCTCAAAAACTGTTTAAGAGAAGCTATGGAAAATAGATTGAAATTTTCCCTCCTCACAAAAATGGAGGTGCATATTCCACAGGCCAGGGCAAGCCCCCTTCTGCTGACTCCACATTCTTCCACGACACAGCTCTCATGATCCAGGCCTGCAAGAATCCAAGAGATAGCCTACAGCAAAAATCCACGCAGTTTCTAGAGAAAGAAATGCCCAGAATATTAGGAAGAAAAGAAAAACCTCTTGTTGGGCATCAGCTATTATCTGTGGAAATTAAGGTACCTCTCAAGGAATGTCTTCATTACCATCCAAATGTTAGAGTTGTTTATTTGTTTAAAAAAACTATTATAGTAGTAAAGTTATAATAATGAAAAAAGAAAAATGAGCTGGATGTCGTGGTGTACACCTTGAATACCAGCACTGGGGAGCCAGAGGCAGGTGGATGTCCATGAGTTCAATCTCAGTCTGGTCTTTATAGGGAGTTCCAGGCCAATTAAAGCTACATAGTGAGATCCTGTCTCAAAAAAAAAATTTTTAAAGAAACGTAACACTCATGAGGGAGCAGAAAGGTTGAGTCAGGTGTAGATTAGAGGAAAGGATATGTGATAGGGTTTTAGTTGCGGGGGGGTGGGTGGTAGGGGAGGATAGGAGGGAGAGGGAACTGGGATTAACATGTAAAACAATCTTGTTTCTAATTCAAATTAAAAAATGATAAAAAACATAACACATATACACACAGAGAGAAACACACACACACACACACACACACACACACACACA